GTTGTTCTTCTTTGTCAAATCCAAGTCCTGTTGGAGACTCTGCTCGCGGAAACGGGCGCTCGCGGATGCCGAGTTTGCAGCCTGAAGGTTCTGCTCAGCAGAAGAAAGTTCACGTCTCAATTCAATGGTTTTCTTGTGTTGCGTCGAGAGCTCCTCCGCTAGCTTATCGTATGCTGCAGACTTTGACTCAAGAAGTGCTAGTGTGTCCCTGTTTGAGGCTTCAAGAGAGGAGATGCGGGATTTCAAAGAGCTAACTTCGGATTCATTGGAGGTAGAAGAAGATTTCAAGGAGGCGATCTCGGATTCCAGGCTGGATCGGATATTTTCTGTAGCATATAAGCAATTGCATCACAGCGCAGCATCAATAAAACAAACCAGATTCATGTAATTTCTTCCTAGACTCCTCAACTTCTGCATGGCCCTTCTCGACAGAGCTCTTCAAGACCTTGACCTTGGACTCACTGCTGCGAACCGCGTTTTCAAGCTCTACCTCCAGGCGAAGCTTATCGGACTTCAGATCATCGTATTCTCGGGCCTTCTTTGTGATCGCCTCTAGGAGTTGATTCACTAATTCAACGGTAGGAGCTTGGGTAAGAGTAGTAAGCGTTGACTCCGCGATGGAGTAATGAGAGGACAGGTAAGGCAATTCAATCGTAACGGAAGCCATAGCGCCCTAGGTTGACAGCAGCACGAAGCCGCTTAGCCTTGTAGACGTTTAATCAAGAATGCCCCAGAGCAATCGTCGTGTACCCAAGTGACAGACGATATTGCTGCAGGTGTAACATGCACTGTCTTTGACACGTGCACACAGCGCTCAGGGTTACAATTAGGTCATGACGACATCAAAAGAGAGATGTCTATGAGAAGTAACAGAGGCGAAGTGAAGATAAAACCCCTGTGGAATGATGAATAATAGATTATGGACAAAGGGTGAAGAGTGACGCTTTGCATTCGGGCTGCTGGTTACAGCTCCCAACGCGGTTAAGCGCGCCGATGCCATCACGTGAGATGTTACTCCGGATGAACAGGAGGCTATGGCTACAGCAGCAAAGAACAGCGCATTACCAAGCCCAACAAAGGCTGCTGACAGCCTACTCGGTGCGCCTTACTTCAGGGAAGATTTGCATATCTCTAGGTGGCCGTGTTTCTCTTTGGACTTTCGAATGAGCTCGTGCGACCTCTACTTGAGCTCTGTTTGGCTCCGGTGAGCCAAGCCTTGCCTCATCTTACTAACCTCTGGACCCTTCACGTCACCTTTCGTCTCAACTGTGGGTTTGGCTTTGCTTGATAACTTGCAGCCATGTCGCATCTCCAGCAGCAACTTAAAAGCTTCAACGCTGGCGTCGTGGCTGCTGCGGCTCGCATGCCGCAGCAGAGACGGTTCGTCCATAACAACTCTGCCAGTAGTTCACAAGTACCATCTTCGACCTCTACACCCACCCCGAGCGGCGATGTCAAGCGGAAAAGGCACGATGCAGATATTGTTTACTCGCAGCCTGCCAATACTGGCACAGGCAAGGATATTATGACACAGGTCATCTTCGCAATCGAGCATATGAAAAACAAGGGCATCCCGCTCAGGTTCACAGATATCGTCTCCTACCTTTCTCTTCAACATCGGGCGAATGATCAGGGTTATGTCCAGGCACTACGGAGCATCCTTCAGATGCACGAGAAGGTCCAGTACGATCCTAGTGGAGCAAACGGAGAAGGCACATTCAGCTTTCGCCCACCACACAATATCCGCACTGCTGAGCAGTTGCTCCAGAAACTCCAGTCGCAGTCTACCGCTGCTGGAATGAGCGTTCGTGAGCTGCGGGAAGGCTGGCCAAATGTGGAAGACACTATCAATCAGCTTGAGAAAGAAGGAAAACTTCTTGTAACTCGCAACAAAAAGGACGACCATGCGAAGATGGTGTGGGCCAATGATCCATCCTTGATACAACAATTCGATGACGAGTTCCGTCAGATTTGGGAGAAGATCAGAGTTCCCGACCAGCAGGCTGTCAAAGAGGAATTGGAGAAGGCCGGGATTACACCCACGAACAAAAACAAGGTCACCAAAGCTCGTCCCAAGATCGAACACAAAAAGGTTAAGAAGCCTCGTCGCAGTGGCAAAACGACTAACACCCATATGATGGGTGTCTTGAGAGATTATTCTCATCTCAAACGATGACTGAAGCGTTTACGCTATAGGGAAACTAAAATGTTGAGTATTGGCTTCTGCAGTTGCGCTTTCCAATTGCGCATTGCGTTGAGATTGAAATATAGAGACCGGCACGACCATGATGGAGATCGGTTTTATTGCATCAACCGGCGTCTTAGGGGAAACATACACCGGGAACTTGAGTTTCATCACACGACTAAAAGTCTGGCTAGCATCTTCGCTCGTTGCCAGTTGCTGTTTGTAAAATATATTAATAAAATATAGATACCCAAAACCGTGGCATAGAGTAATATAACTGCGTAGGTCACGATGCTCTCCGGATAATACCCAATTTTACGGAATCTTAACTGAATCACCAACACATATTCTATTGCGATCTACTTCGGGAAGGGAAGATAGGCATGTCTCTTGAGCGCGCTGCGCGCATACATCGGCAACCGCCTCGGTGCCACTGGGAGTAGTACTACCTTAAAGGGAAGTGGGATTTAGCGTCCAATGCAAAAGTATCTTCAGGTTTTGGTACAGTTTTTATTTTTCGCGTGCAAAACTTCGAAAAATGGCCAATTTTCAATTATTTTGAGTTCTGATTGATGTTCTAAAATCAGGACTATCAAGAATTTGCGCGCGAAAATTAGAAAAATGCGCCAAGAATTGAAGATAGTTTTGCATACGATACATGGAGTTATCACCCGCGGCACTGATTTTACATACATGACAAACCATTAGTGATCGACTCAAGTCCGGACCTCCCACTCTTCTTCCCTTCCTTTCCGCTTGCTTCCAACCATATATATATCGCAGCGCTACCGGAACATTCCGAGGATAGAAATATCTCTTTCGAGCTCCAGATACCTCTGTTCTTTCCTGTTATACTCGATTCTACTCTAGAGTTGCATCTCGGTATTCGGTATCCGCGCTTCTCCGCACACCGACCCGAAGATAACCATTATCGGCTTCAAGGTTGAGTCATTCACATTTGGAAAGGAGTTAATCCCAACGTCCAAACTGAATCTACTGTCCCAATTGTATACACCGCAGTAATCGGACTCAACCTTGAGCGTAGACACGCTCAATTTCAAAGAAACAAGTACCAACGCCACATATATTACTCTGCCCCGCTCAAGTGAGGGGCATATATTTGCGACTCAACATGCCTGCAGACACCGATCCCAGTCTCCAATTTGATTCAATTGAAGATACAATCAAGGCTTTCAGTGAGCATTTTTCCCCTTACCGCTCCCTCCACATTCTTCCCAATGGTGCTGAAGGCGCACGCATGTGGGAACGTCCCGAGGCAATTCCTACCGGCAACGCTAACCCACATGACTCTGCATAGAGAATGGCGAATTCATAATTGTGCTTGATTCACAAGACCGTGAAAATGAAGGCGATCTTATTATTGCCGCCGACTCAATTACCCCCGCTCAGATGGCTTTCCTGGTTCGCTTCACAAGGTGGGATATCCTCTCCGCCCGATATCCTCATAACTCTCAACTGCAATTGCGTTCGTCTCATATACCGCAGTCACTAACCTTCCTTCCCCGAACCAGTGGTTTAATTTGCGCACCCGTATCCCCCGAAATCGCTAGTCGACTCAGTCTACCCCAAATGGTGCTTGAGAATGCAGACCCGAAAGGAACCGCATACACGATTTCCGTCGACTCAAGTGACCCATCCGTTACCACCGGTATCTCCGCGCAGGACCGCGCCCTCGCATGCCGAACACTTGCCTCCCCGACTGCCCACGCCGAAGATTTCCGGAGACCGGGCCATATAATTCCCCTCCAGGCCAGGAGCGGTGGTGTGCGCGAACGGAGAGGACATACTGAAGCTGCAGTCGAGTTCTGCCGTCTGACTGGTAAGGTACAAGCTGGTGTGATTGCTGAGTTGGTGGAAGACGGCGAGCTGGTCCCGGGCGTCCCAGAAATCAGTGGCAATAACGGCATGATGAGACGTGATGGGTGCTTGAAGTTCGGCAAGAAATGGGGCATCAAGGTATGCACCATCGAAGACCTGGTTGAGTACGTCGAGAAAACAGAGGGTAGCTCTTCTGTTGTCACAAATGGAAAACAGTAATAAGTCCAAGTGTGACAATGTTTCTTGTATAGCCGTTTTTCCTTTTATTGTCGTTTATTTTTTTAACTATCCTTCTCGGTTCTTTCCATTGCGGAATGCATGTTTACGACCTGTTCATGTGGCTGTTTTTGTATGTACTATTGCTAAACGACAAGTGGAGGATGGGTGGGCAAAAGGACATCTAGGATATCAGATGGCCATACTTCTCTCCGGTTTATGGAATGGGTGCGACAGGGCAATATGAAGTGACAGAAATAGATATAGACAGAAAATATGCTGGTTACATATCTGTAGATTCAGTCTATGAAGCAGAGTTACTTGGAAACGAGCATTGACTGTTTATAGAAGAAATTAGAATCAACCACCACAACCACAACCAAATCCATGCAGCAAAGCATCATCCACGTTCTTTTCTCGATTTCACACTCACTCCTCTCTTGCACATTGCGAATGTAAGCAAGTATCAAGAGAGATAATATTGAAGTTTGTAGCTCGTAATAGTCAATATCGCATACACAGTTCCTGGGCAAAAGTATTGGTCAAAATCGCCTTTGCTCTATTGACTCCATATATCCATATGCAGATTATTGCTCAATGGAGTCACTCCTATCAAAATAGCTGAGAACTTCCAATTCCACTTTAATAATTTTAATAACTTGATAGATAATAAGTAGTAATATATCGAGAGGTACGGAGTATAGAGACAGTCATTGAATATAGGCGTGTAATAAATCGATAATATCTATGTATACCTTTCGTCAGTGTGGCCGAGCGGTTATGGCGTGGAATTCAAATGCTCGGTCGCTCTGCGTTCGCAGGTTCGAATCCTGTCGTCACCTTGACGTTGGAGAGTGGCTATTGCGAGAGATACATCTTGATGTGGTCTTGTTGTTGACTGTCAGGTATGAAAGAGCTTCATGCGGGTATATATAGACTGGGTTGCCTCGTAGTTCAACCCTTTAAATACGACATATGTTATTAGAGGCTATAAAGTTATCTATTTGGTCAGGAAGTGGCAGATAGATCTATAATAGCTTTTTTATAAGCTATAGCCACCTATATTACAAGTGTTTTTAATCCTATACTAGATAGAGGTATACCAGGCAGGTCTTATTATAATTATAATAGACTAGAGATGAGCATGACGGATCCCCACAGCTGGTTGGATGCTTGCTTAGAATATGTCTGAAATAGACGGTGGTTAGAATATCTTAACCGAGAATCTATGTTCCTGTCAGGTCGGATACCTCTGTTTAGAGCTAGAGCTTTGCCAATGCGTATTACAATAGAGACATGCTTTGACACTATAGCATCCACTATATACACGCTTCAGTGTCCACTAGCCTCATAATGAAAAGGCAAAAGGAGATAAAAACATCTTGCGCTTGCTAATGGTGTTGTCTATATAGAGCAGGAAGTGTAGTCAATCTAACAAGGTATGCTAACCGAATCAGTATATAGCCAAGTTCCCAAATAGGTCTCGTAAAATGCAAAAAGGTAGCTTCGCAGCTTACAGCCCTAAGCCTCCCATCCGCCGTACTTCATCGGCCTGTCTTTCTAAAGCTCTCCGCATCATGCTGGAATATTCACGCTCTCGCATACGTAACTCACGTCTCCTGTTTCGTAACTCCTCACGTTTAGCGCCGCCCACGTCTTCGCTGACATCGATGAGATCATCTTCCTCTTCGTCTTCATCGTAGTCATACGTGTCGGCGAATCTAATACGACCAACACGTTCGCCTGTCCAGACGAGGAGTTCATCTCCCGTTAAATTTCCACCGGTAGGTAGAATCTTCCGAGCAACCTCGTCGTTGCTCCGAGGGCTAGATGAGTCATTCCACAGGCCGCGGGCCTCTTCTTCGCTCTCGCCCTGCATATTAGTGTTGAATCCAGATGAGTCTTGTTCATTCTTCCGGCGAGGTTTGTAGTCGTTGATGTTGAACCGACGAACTTCGGCTCGGCCGTCTCGTTCAACCCACTTAACGTTCCCATCTCCATCAGAATAGACTATACGGGTGCCGTGCGACTCGACTGATAACACCTTCAGGCTCGCAGAACTCTGTCTGTTTTGATATACTTGTGATAAGCTGGATGACAGATCTGATGGTCCGTTCTCTCCTTGCACACCTAATGGCGTAAGGCTGTATAGCTCGAGGGAGCCTTTGCCTTTGTATTCACCACAGGCGACAACTTTATGCGAGTCCGGACAGGACAAACCAGAAGACAGAGGAAACTGTGGCGCTGGGACAGAGGCGAGGCCGCATAAACGGCCTCCCGAGTGAATTGTGTTCTGCAAGCGGGGAAAGAACCGCCGGTCATATTGCAAGATGCTTGGGAACCGCCCGGCAAGGAATATGGAATTCACGTGAGGGGCTGGGGGGTGCAGCAGAGCAAGTGGTCCTGGTTGGAACAAAGGAGCATAGTCTTCACCTGTTTCTAGGGGGTTGGGGCTCCGTATGCGATGGGGAGGCTGTCCGTTGGGCTGAAGCTGGAGAAGGGGGGAATCCGGAGGAGCATATATCTGTGATTTTGGGACCAACGAGAGTGTTGGCTTTTCACACCGAAGATTAATGGCCTCTTCTTCCTCGGTTGCAGATAGCCGACCATCGTATATGTGAAGGCTCAAAGTAGTAGCTAGAGTTAAGGGCACGGAGTAATCTGTCTCTTGAGACAGAGCAAAGATCGACCAAGGATAACGCTGCTGTGAAATTACACTCAGCGTCTCGAGATCGACTTCATTCAACACATTGGAAACAGCGAGATATGCTCTTCGACGGATGGAGTCCACGCTCACACATTCCCCAAGATTAATAAACTCCAGCCCTGGTTTAGCCGCCGAGTTATCCCTCCGTCCAGATAGATTAGCCATTAGAATGCCCGGCTGGCTAACTCCAAGAATCCTGCCTTTAGTAGACTGAGACCCGATTGAATGGGAATGATTTAGGTCCCAAATGCAAACACTGCCGTCGTCTAATGGTGCGATAGCCTTGTTCTGTCGCGCAGAGCTCCAATCCCGGAGCAACCCCATACCTTTGACCTCGCGGTGTGTCTTTTTCCCTTCGTCTTCTTTTGTAAAGGGCTGCTGGAGCCAATTGAAGGATATCGGTCCATTGCGAGCAATATACTCCGAATACCAGTCGATATCTTCACCCTCATACGACGGATCCCACGTCGCTGCTGCTCTTGACCGTTCGGCAAATGACACATTCTGATCCCCGTTCGAGAGCGAAATATTTGGTTGGATTAGGGAACGGAGAGAAGTCTGGCCCAATGAGCTAAGAGGAGTAGTGGAATCTGTGACACGGCGTGCCGAGGCCCTGTTGGCCGAGTAAGAGGCGTTTACGGCGGCCCATGATTGTTCATAACAATGGAGTCTCCATAGGTTATTGTCCCGTGCGAGGCCGAAGAATCTCTTTGAGACAGACTGAAGCTGCACCTGCTCATGCGGCGTGAGATCTGGTGTATGACAGAGGTTAGCTCGTGCAGCGACTGTGGCAAAAGGTACTACACAAGGACCACCCGCACTAAAAGACCGGAATGTGGAGAATAATGTATTGGCTGAGGATTGGAAAGAAATGAGATTAGATGTGCTTACAGTCAATTATCTTAGCAAGAATCTCTACGGGCAGCTTCTCCATGAGGAAAACTGGTCCGGAAACACCATCGAGGCCGGACAAATCCAATTGGGGCTCACTACAAAGATGTGGGACAGGCCGTTTCTTGTTGTTGGGTTCCAGACTTTTCTTTATAAATTCCCCCGCGATCAGTGATCAGCCTGATTGGCGTCACGTGTTGGCATGTATTGCAGTGGAGACTATTTATTTATGAAAGCCCTGTTGATAGTTGATTTCATCACAGTATTGGATAAATGCGGCGATTTATATTCATGACATGGCTCTTCTTGACCTCTTCGACTATCTTAGAGCATACCCACGCTCTTAATTCCAATTGATATCTTTTACCCAATCCATCATAAATCATATTAATCGTACAGAAGGAGACCCTTTATCAAAACCCAAATGAAAAAAAAGCAAAGGGTTACACTGAGCCCAGAAGAAACTTTTAGGGCCTGATAAACAGCACCACCGTTTAGCCCTGAGGCATGTAAACGGCGTCTTTGCAAAGAACAGCAACTCTTTTAAAGAAACGACGCCATTCAAGCGGGTCACCTTTCACTTTCATAAATTCAATCTCAAATAGACCCTCTGACACGCATTCAATGATGACCTTACCCTGCAGCGTACACATTCGGCCATCCCTGGTTACAATTCTGATCATTGCCGACGCATCACCGGCAGAAACCGCTGGTACTGAGGGCACGGGCACCCCCAAACGATGCAGAGCCTCACAGATGAGGGGTACAAGGATTTTTAGTTCCCATATGGAGTAGAAGCGAGTTAAAGGCCGGGATGGTACTATATCACGGAACTGTTGTGCCTTCTGCGTTCGGCTGAGAGGCACAGACGGATGAGGAGAAAACTGTGACATAGACGGCTCATCTTCAAGCGTGTCAGCTACATAGGTGTCGTCCACAGAGAGAGGCTGCCCCATCGGTTGAGTGGATGAAAATACGTCAGTTAGGTGAGGCGTATCCCAATCAACTAGCATGTGGCCGCTCGGCATCTCAGGCTGCGTCGATGAGATCCTGAAGTCGGTGTCTAGATCTCCTATGTCCATGTCCATTCGGCAAGGATCAACGCCACTATTCGCTCGCCGAGCCAGGGGATCCTGGGAGAAGTCTATATGAAGAGACTCGAACATGGTTGTAGCCATATTGATCGGGTCTCTGAGTCTACCATCCGGTGATAAGAACCTATTCTGTCGTGTGTACCAGGGGTGCCTCCGGACATCTTCCAAAGAGAAGCGGCTGGCTGGGTCGATATTCAGCATACCCCGTAGTAATGACAATGTCGCGACTGGCAACTGTTGCCATAGTTCATCACTTGTCCGTGCGTTGGTTGCGACATATTCGTGGAACTCGTAGCTATTCTCTGTTGGGCTGTCCCATGGTGTATTGCCGGCCAGGAGAACAAAAAGGACAATTCCACATGACCAAATGTCGACCAGATCCGGTCGGTAACCTAATCCTTTCATATTGTTTTTGTTGCTGCAAGTAATGACCTCCGGTGCAATATAAGGTGGACTGCCACAGAAAGTGGTGGAAAGCTTTGTCACTCCTTTGTACTCGAACAAAGTTGCTAGGCCAAAATCCGCGATTTTCAGATTCCCATCTGCCGTCAAGAGCATGTTTTCCGGTTTGATATCACGATGGCCCACGCCTTTCGAGTGCATATATCCCACTGCACTGACAAGTTGTGAGAAATAAACATGGGCGATATCCTCCCCCACACCTTCATCAGCCTCGATCTTATCAAAAAGATCGCCTCCCTCGGCCAATTCCATGGCGATCCATCTCCATGCCCCATCCTCACCGGTCTGGAAGAATGATATTATATTATTATGATCGCCGATGTGTTTGTGTACTGTCGCTTCCATTTGCAATTGCCGTGGACTGATCTTGCCATGTCGCGCGGCGTATTCTTTATGAATGAATTTCACGGCGAAGACCGGATTATCCGTGTGCGATGGGCATGCCTTTTTGATGCTATTATACAACGACACGACACAGCATTAGCAAACTGCGGTCTTCATTGCAACACACATGGGATAAGATAAAAAGTAATAAACATACCACGCGTAGGCACCCTGGCCGATTGTCTTGGAGACAATACGAAAGGGCAAGTCATTTGGCAAGGGGGCGAGTTGGGAGTGGTGCATCTTAAGATGGCGCTCTGTGAGCCTGGCTGTAGTAGAATCAGTCGGGCTGAGTAGAAAGACAGAAAG